TATCACTATCAAATCATATGAACAGCCCAACCTAACCCTATCCCCAACGCTAAGTTGAAGACGAAATGAATGGCTGAACCTTACCTAACCCACAGGCTAGCGCTACAACTAAAATGAAGGGCTAGTCCTATAGAAAAAAAATGGCACAATTATCACTACGGTTTTTAAAAAAAATAATTAAAGAGCCATCAGCAAGGTTCTGGGCCATGTGAAGTTAAGGTTGACTAGCAGCTAAATCTTTTTCACAATGGGCAGGTAATTTACTTTTCAAACAGTGTACTTTTTATGTTACCCATTAAACACAACACTGGCTCTGTTCCTCACAAGATGAACAAACATATTCTTTTCCTGCACCAGTGATGCAGATCAGTTTCAGTGGCCACAAGCAAGTCTGATTGAATGTTGTCCAAAAACACCTTAGTAAATGTTTTTGTTTCAGTTATCACTACACTGTGTTGAAAGACAATTGACCAGGCTACAGAACAAAGTTAAGTTCACATTAAAAAAATCTTCAGTGAGTCCAGAGTTGCCACAGTTGTTTTACTAGGCTAATGTCCAAAAGTAGACTTATTTCAAACAGCAATAGAAGGAGTTCTAGTTTAAGTGCTGTAAGGTCTACTTTAGTTCTTAAAATCAATATAAACCAAAGTTTAATACCAAAATAGAAAGCACTACTTATTTGGCATAATTTTACAAAATAAGTGAATACAATTAGTTTGAAAAATACAGTTTCCTGTAGAAATGCCGCAAGGAAAAGTTTAACTCGGTTTAAAAAAAAGTACTAGTACATGTATTAATCATTTGTTTGGCTGACTTTGTTTTATCAAGAGCTTCATTGCCTTCCTACCCCTTATGGCATAAAAACGCCTGAACTTTTTTCTGTCTAATCTTGATTTAATATAATGCCAAACTCATTGATCTGGAAGAGGGGGGTTTGGAATTGGGATTCGGGAGGGGAGAGAGGGTGGGGGGTAGGGTTGTTTCCATGACACCCAAATTTTTTCATACTTCTTCTTAAAAGTTCTATAGGCCCTATATACGCTTAGATCCAGTCAATAAGAAATAAACCATCTCGTAAATAAAATGCTGAAGAAGAAATAACGTTGTTTTGTTGTTATTTTTGTTTGTTTGTTTTTAAGCCTATCGCTGTCTCTTTTCATTTAATAATACGTTTTTTTTGTAGATCTAGTTGTAGAAAGAACGCTGTATTATTGCTATTTAGTAATCTAGATATAATACGCCACGGCACCTATGTAAAAAAAAGTCAACAAGGACCAAGCCTCGCCTATCACGTATGAGAGTGAGAGACAGAGAGAGAAAACATGCCTAGCCCATTGCTTTAGCTTGAACTCCTTTGCACAGCTTGCTAAAAAGAACATGGCGGAAGCCGCTGTCGAATGTGGCCATCGCGCAACAAAACAAGAGATGGTTGTACCGTATCTAGTGCCTAGTAGTGTAAATCTATGGTCCAGGCCTTCCTGGAGGATGGTTGGCGGGTGCTCAGGTGTGGTTTGCTCCTTCTTTCCTATCAAATATCTATTATCCTTAAATCTCCTTTTTTGTTTGTTTTTCTCTTGTCACATCTCTGATCCTCGATGACCTTATTATGTTGCGCGTGCTTTTAAGCCTTCTTGTGGGGGCTCTCGTGGTCTGGAGTATAAGGTGTTATGTTCACTCTTCGGGAGAAGTGGTCTCGGCCCAAGGTAGGAGGTTACAATAGACATTTTATACACAAAATCGGAAACAGAAACGGAAGTCGGCTGTAAAAAAACTGACTGAGTTGCCAGGGTGAAAAGTCCATCGGTAAAATTCACAGAAAAAGTCCAAACCCATTATAGACAATTTTTTGGCACTATTTTAACGTTTTTAGTGTGCTGAGAACAATCTTGATAGGGCGAATCATCGATGCCGCTGATAAAGCGGAAATCGGACAAAACACCAAGTTTTCCCCTTTCCATAGCGATATCTCTAAAACGGCTTGAGATATCCCAAAGTGAATGGTACCAATGGAAAGCTTGTCCATTTTTCCTTTAAAGAATCTTACATTAGTTGACACTAAAAACTGTTACACACCATCATTTTTGTAAATTTAGCATGGGGGTCCCCCCTGCACCCCACCCCCTTTTTTTAACGCGACTTCCGTTTTTGTTTCCGAGTGTCTAGTGTCTATGGAGTTAGGCCGGGACCACTTCTCCCGAAGAGTGCCGGTGTTTGCCTTTCATTCAATAGGTCCCGCGTTCGAATCCGCATAACGAAGGACATTTTTCTTCTCTAAAATTATCTTTCACATCCTTTCCTGCTCCCTAAACAATGTTCTGTCGTCTGCTTTTGTTTCCACTTTCTGCCCACATCCCTTCACCCCCTTTGGCTGATCTATCATGTCATGTTCATACTGTGCTGGAACAACACAAGGGGAACTGCTGCTTTTTCTGTCTTCATCCTTACTATCGTCACTTTCCATCCACTTCTTTCGTATGTTTGTCACTCTCTTGTGAACTGCTTTTTCCGGGTGCCTTGATAGTCGAAGTAGACTTTGTGCTGTTGAGGCGAGAGAGGTGAACAGAATAAGCCTGATTCCCCGTTTGGACTTCTCTGTTGACATCCACCCCTTTGCGCTCATATGGCCTTATGCAGTTGCGAGCGCCGTAAAACCACCCCCCCAAAAAAAAATAAAGAAAAAAAGAAAAAAAAGGTGTTGCAAAAGAGATGGCCTAATAAAATAAAGGCTGACAAAGAAAAGAAGGAGGAGACCTAAGGACGATAGATGTTTGATAGGAAAGAAGGAGCAGACCACACCAGAGCACGCGCCAAACACCGACTAAAATTCTGTGAAATTATTTCTACAATAACAATACCATGTTAGGATCTTGGCAAAGAGGTTAAAATAATACCATTTATATCATTATTCTCTTTGCTCCATGGTAATAATTTTCACTATCTCCCTTTGCTACAGAATAATAATATCATCTGTTACCTCCCCTTGTGAAGAGCAAGCCACTGATGATTGCTGTTTAGCTTACATCGTGGAAAAGGGGTGGGGGTGACGACACTCAGCAAACAGGGTCACAGACTTGCCGTTTGAATTGATAACCTCGTATCTGACAAAATTAATAATTTGTTATTGTCATAATCTAAAAAAAAAGACCCCAAAGGTTTAAAATGTTACTCTCAGTGATGTTTGCATAGTCATTGAATGTTAAGATAATAACAACAGTTCCAAACTAAAATTGACAGGCGTCATCATTATTTTCTTGTAGAGTAAATGAAAACTTAAAATTTTATTATCTTTAAAAAATTAGATTTTTCTTTCCACAGATTCGCATTTATCTACTTAATTTTTCAATCAACCAAACGGCAAGAGATGGAGAGACAAGGCCGGAGGAGGTCGGTGTGAGGCTGGTGAGTGCATGGTGGCTCGTGTACTTCAAGTTGACCCTGTGAGTTCACCCAGTCTGTTATCCGGGCAGATTATTGTGCGCCGGGAAATCTGTCGCCAGCTCACTGCTCACTTAACGCACGTGCTCACGGGGCAAGATGTTGTTGTTTTCTTTAGCGAGTCCACTCGAACACCCCCCCCCCAAAAAAAAAAATATAAAAAATCAGCAAAGAACCCAACAACCCAACAACAAAACCCAGAGGTCGCACACTTGATTTTTTTTACTTTCTTGTTTTGTTTAACAAAACAAATGTTACCTGTTGTTGACGGATGCTCTTTTAGATTTATAGTAGATTCTAGATCTACTTTGATATTAGGTGATTTAAAAGAGGTTGGTTTCATGTTGCCGAGAATTATTTTTTTTTCTGTGATTTTTTTGCTCGCATTCTTTTCAGATCTGCTGCTCGAGTTTTTATTTATTTGTATTTATTTGTTGCTATTGTTGTTTTTAGACAGAGGGACATTGGGTAAGGAGGTCACTCAGCGGGGGCATTTGTTAGAGAGGATGGGGAAAAAATTATCTCGATGCCTTTTTACCACAGCTAAGGAAGTTTATAGATTTTACTGCTTTGCACCAGTTTCAATGTTTTTCTTTGAACCTGCCCATGTTACTGAATCTTGCAACCAAGTTTGTCATAGGCTTAGCAGCGAATAGATCTATGTTGTGGATTGAAACGTTAATTTTTGCTGTAAACACCATTTCGTAACTAAGATTAAAAATCCTCCTGGTTTCACTGAAAACGCTAGCGCTCTCAGCTTTCAGATTTATTTTCAATTGTCAGTGCCGGGCCTCTAATCTCTTCGATTCGCATACGAGAATGTTTATGGACAAATGCGTCATGCGAACATTGTCCCAGGCCGTGCAAGCAACAGGCGTTTAGGCTCTCTTGTACGACAACAGTCTCCCCCTCGCCTCGTCGCCCGAGTGACGGGGTCCTTTGAAAAGCCTTGCCGTATCGCGGGTAACGAGGTCAGATCGAGGGCCATTATAAAGGTCGGATTTCCGGGTGTAAGTTTCAGTTAACTCTAGACATCTCAGGGAGAACTGAGTGTGTATGCGGGTGTGTGATTTCTGTGCCGACCGCTGCTGCTGTGTAAGAACTTTCGAGGACTGGTGCTTTGGAAACGTGAGGTTTTTTTTTGGTCGACTCCTAATTTGTGAAATGGATTAATTTACCGTTCCAGGCTGGTACAGACTACAGATTCATCATCTGGAGGAAGTGTTGGACTGCTCATGCATGCTGATTTTAACGTTTAATCGTTAAGACAGTAAATCCTTTCACGGCTCGTTTCCGACTTGATCAACTGTGCATCATATGAAACTGTGCGCATACCTCCACGGGCGAGCGAGTGTTTGACATTGGCGTTGTTTGCCCAGTGCTCCCGCTCCGAGCTGCTATTGGTGATGCTGAGGGGAAAGTTTGGCGACCTCCTATGACATGCGAGCGGGAGGAGAAGCAGACGACAGCACGCCAAGCCCGCGAATCACGCAGTCCAGTTGACAGGCCTTTCTTGTTCGAAAACCAACAGTAAACAAACGTCCTGTGTTTCGTTTGGAGTTTCCATCAAAATATAAAAAGGTGGCCAAACACTGAAGCGTTGCTCAGCTCTGGGGAGCAGAAATATTCCGAGGCAGGAAATAGTGGACCTGGGCGAAGAAAACAAAATCTCAGTTGTTTGAGCGAGGACTAGTAAACTGTAGGAACACCTGTAGAGCTTGTGGGGGACGAGAAAGTCCTCTTTACTTTCATGTTTGTGACTCGTCGCTCGCGCTACGGAGTCAGGTGTTTGTGTCTTTCTCCGCGGGACCTTCATAAACTTCTCATCCGTGCTCATCCAACTGGAGATATTACTGCTTCGCTGAGACCATTGTAGCTCTGCATACCTTTGTTGTCCCTTCATTGCTGGAGATTTAAAAATTAAATGCCCCCGTGTATAGGCCTACCTCGGTAGATGAGACTGATTTGTCTTTCTGTGGTTCCTCTCGGCAAGTGATGACATCACACGGTGTGCCAAAGAGTGCGTGGTTGTGAATGAACACAATCGGTGCGACACAGCGCGACAGAAATCTTGGCAAAAACAGCTTCAAAGGTAAGGCTTTGATTTCACGTCATGCATAAACCGCAGATGCATTGATCGACATTTGCACTTGAAAATGTTATTTTTGAAAAGAAAATGTTTTTTTTAGTAGGTCAGACTATAATAGCGACAGATGACGCCCCAAGGTTGAAACGTGAAGAAAAGATGTTTTGCGTAGCTTGCCTACCCCTTTCAAAGAGAAGGAATTTCAAGGAAACTAGACCTAGAATCTAGTCTATGTCTAATTATTTTGCCTCTCTGAAGCACTTAAAAATTGATTTGATCGTGGTATAAAATGGCATTTAAAAGAGTTGACATGTTTGTTCAGAGTAGATCTAATCTAGATATCTAGATCTAGATCTATATCTAGATCTAGATATCTAGACTCTAGATCTCTAGTAAACACATATTATTTGATCTATCTAGTAGTGTAACCCCTGGGGTCCTTTTCCCCACAACCTTCACCCTCTTACCTATAAATAAGTGTAGTGGTGTTTGCTCCTATATTCTAGATCTAAATGTATTTGACTGTTTTTTCTTGACAATTTAAATACGAATGTAGGGCCGAGATATTTATTGCTATTAGATCTAAGCCCAAAATGTCCGATCAGTTATAGGCCTAATGCGTCAATGTCAGAGACCAAGCTTGATAAGTAATAGGAGTTTGAGAACGATTTTTGTTTTAAAATGGGCTATAAAAGGCGACCATATCACACTGAGGAATCTTGTAATAAAGATTTCAATTTTTCGTAAACTAGGACCTCCTCCCTCTCTCTCTTTCTCTTTCTCCTTTTCTCTCTCTCTCTCTCTCTCTCTCTCTG